GTCCTGTCTCTGTGCCATTTGTCTCTCTCTCTCTCTCTGTGCCCTGTCTCTCTATCTCTGTCTCTCTCTGTCTCTGTGCCCAAGGCTCTGTCTCTCTCAGGCTTACTTGGGGTCCCCCGTCCCTGGCCCTCCTGCAGTGCTCTCCCCACACGGCCCAGGCAGCTCTCCTCTCTGGCCCATTTGTCAGGGGGGAAGCAGGGGTGGGGGGCAGGTGTATATTTTAACCACTGGGCCCGACCCCTTCTCCACGGCCCCGACCTGTTCACTGCACCTTAAATTATTGGGGCGGTCAGACGTTCTGGACACTCGAAGGCAATAAACAGGTCCCTGTGGCTGTGTGTGCGGAGAGTGGGGTGCGCGGCCGGGCGGGGTGGACGGGTGGCCTTGTGAGGGTGGGCGGGGCCCAGGGAGGCCACTGTCCAGGATGGAATCGTGCAGCCCCTCCGGCCGGGGGCCGGGGCCTCCCCCTGGTGGCCACGCCGGGTCCCTGCGCTCCGACACACTGGAGTGGCCTGAGCTGCGCTCCCCGCAGTTGCCATGTGGACGTTTCGGGGGCTGGTGCACAGAAGGCGAGGCAGGCTCACCAGCGTTGCCCCCCTGCAGGGCGGGGTGAGGGTCACTTGGTAATTCCTCGGGGCCTCGTGTCCAGAGGGGTGGCCGCCCTGTCCTGTCCCGCCAGGTGTCCTCATTCAGCCTTAGGGGCCCAGAGGAGGGAGGGGTGATGGTGGCCGACTCTGCTCGGGGTAGAGGGACACGCCATCCCATCAGCCCAGGGCAGGAGGGGAGGGGGGAGGGTGACCCGGGGTGCCTGGGGTAAGTGGGTCTGAGTGTGTGGGGGGCCTGGCCTGCCTGAGGGCATGGACGGCTGTCCTCCCGTGGGCCTGGGGCTCGGCCTTTCTTGGGCTGAGAGACAGGTGCGGGGGTGGGGGGCGCAGCTGGGACGAGGGGCGAGGGCTGGCCTGACTGGGAGGAGAGAGGCTGAGGCAGTCTGCCCCAGGGCCCCCCCTGGGCACTGTCCCCACCTTTGGACACCACCCAGGGATCTTTACTGATCCCTTCTCTCCCAGGCGCTGGGACCCGCTGGCTGTCATAGTCGCAGACCCGGGCCTAGTGTCCAGGCTGCCTCCCCACCTCTGCCTGCCCAGCCTCCTCCTCCTTGGAGCCCACCTGGCCTGCCCCTCCCCCCATCCCACCCTATACCCCTCGGAATGGGTCTGCAGGAGGGGCTCCCCCCTCCCCAGCTCGTCACCCCTGTTTTTCCCAGAGAAGGAGGTGGGCCCAAGAAGGGCAGGCCTTGTGCCCAGGGCGCACAGTGAGGCCTTGGCAGAGACTCATGTTCCCCGGATGTTGGCGCCCCCTGCCTGGGCTCGTTTCGCTAGTACGTGAAGGGTGGCCCTGGGGTGGCTCTGTGGGCTGTGCCTTCCCCGGGGCCCTGGGCAGGTGCCAACAGGGACACAGACCCCGTCTCTCCGTCCGCCGGCCTGCTCCAGCTGGCCTGGCATGAACTGGCACACTGGTGCCGTTAATGGGGCACCCGCGTGGGCCTGCTCTGTAGAGCCCAGCCGCCCTGCTCAGGAGGAGTCGGGCCCCTTCCCACTTCCAAGCTCAGCCTCTCTGAGTCAGTTTCCCTGAGGGGCTTCCGGTCACCGTCGGCTCCAGGAACCCATCGGGTCCAGTCCCACCCAGCTCCAAGCTTTTACTAAACCAGACTTTCTGGAGGGAGAAGGAACCAGAAAAGAGCGTGGAGGGCAGCCTGCCTACCCACTGCCCCATGGGGACCACAGGGCACCTGATGGTGAAACCAGGGAAGCATTCCCTTTTAGGGGAGATGGCACCCCTGCTTGGGACCACGCCCACCATGCTGGACCAACAGCACGTTCCTCCCTGGCCCCTTGGTCCTGAAGGAGCACACCGCCCCCAGCCAGGGGGTTGGCGCAGAGGAGGGGCCGGTGGATGCTTGTGGAGGTCAGTGGAGCACATGGGGAGTAGTGAAAAGGCATACCCCCCAGCCCTCCTTGGGGGCGCCATTCAGAGATGACGGATGGGTAAGATGGGGCCGCGGACCCTGGCCCTTCCCGGGCTCCTCTGGCTCTCCCGTGTGGTTATTTCCTCCTTTTACCGAACACATCCGAAAATGCAAATAAATCTGACATCTGTTCCGTGAAGGTCGCTGTATATTTTCAACCCACCCTCCAGGTTGTGGGGCCTCCTCCGTGCCAGCCCCGTGCAGCCACATCCCTGCTCCGAGGGGCTCATGGTCTATGGGGGGTGGGGGGTGACAGGCTAGGAATCTGTCTAGGGCTGGGGGGGTGGCCAGCCTCAGGGCTGGAGACGCGTGGGCTGGTCCTCGAGCAGTGGGGTGGTGTGGAGGCCCCGAGGGGGTGAGGATGGGGGCCGCAAGTGGGAAGAGCTGTCTGAGCGGAGGTGGGGAGGGGTCAGTGTGTCCCTCGAGAGAACAGGCAGGGGGCAGGCTTGGCTGGAGCACCCCACTGGAGGGACGGCCGGCCAGTCTGGTGGGGGTCCCGAGAGAGACAGCCTGCGGTGGGGCCCTAGGAGAACTCTGGCAGGCAGGGGAAGGGCTCAGCCCCCATTTCACATGTGGGAAGACCAAGGCTGAGGGGGTAGGGACTCGACTGAAGGTCGGGTGTGTCTCCAGGTGGCTCCCAGGGAGTGGGGGGACCCAGCCAGGAAGGGGCCTCCTCTGGACGCGGCCCTCCCAGGGGTCTCGGGAGGATCTTAGGAGCCATTTTACAGATGGAACAGCTAAGGCTCAGAGAGCCGGGACCCCTGCCTCAGCCACAGAGCTAGTCCAGGGTGGGCCAGGTCCCACTGGGAAGGTCTGACTCTGGGCCCAGGCTGGTTCTGCTGCCACCCCAGGTGCAAGCCTGACTGGACTCAGGAGGATGGAGATGGGGGCGAGGGAGACCAGCCAAGGGACCTCTTCCCTACCTGCAGCCCCTCAGTGACTATGAAGCTCCAAGCTGGAGACAAACTGAAGACTCTGGGGGCACCTTAGTGAAGCGCTCCTTTCAACCGTGAGCCCCGACGGCCAAGGCTGTCCTTGGAGGGCCCTCTCAGCGCCCAGGACACTGGCGGCCGTGGCTTGGGCTCCCGTCCAGTGGAGTCCACCTGATCTCCACGAGTGGAGGGGCTGTCATTTGCAGGGTCCCGCACAGACTTCACAGTTTATCTCTGGGGCACCCTGCCTGCCCCACCACACTCCAGGCCTGGCCCTGTCCCCTAGTCCTGCCAGGGTCTCCTGGGCTTGCCTTGGTCCCCGGGGGGCCCGCAGATGGTGGGCAGGGTGCGGACAGGTGTGACGCTTCTTTGTTGAATCTAGAGCTTTCTTTTAAATGGAAAAATGTTCTGCAACCCAGCTCTGTGAGGACGGGGCAGGGCTGACCGACACGGTGGGCACAGGGGAGGAGGAGGGTGAGGGAGGACGCTGGAGGTCACTGCCGTCTGGCAACCACGGCCTGAAGGAAGAAGAGCTGTCTGGTGGCAAATTCGCGGATGCCGGGCTCCTGGTCCTTCTTGAGATCTTCGAAAGCTCCAGGAGAGGAGGGACACGTCTGAGGTGACCCCACCCCGTCTGCCCACAGCCCCGCCCTGCTGGAGGGAGCCTGGGGCCCCAAACTCCCTGGGAGCAGCCTCCTCATCTCAGCCTGGGGTAGGGGGGTGGCAGGACCGGCCCAGACCCCCTCCTTCGCCTACAAGACCTGGGGTACTTCCCGTCTCCCACCCCACCCACTCCCAGCCCCCCTTGTTTGGGACCCCACCCACAGCCTCGTCGAGCCTCAGGCAGCCCGTGGAGTGGGTGTGAGCCCCCGTCACAGGAGCCCAACCACCTCCGGACACGGGCTGGTGGTGTGGCCTGGGGGGCGGGGACGGGGGGCCGCTTACTACAGAAGAGCAGGTTTATGTCGACGTAGTTCACCATCCGGGACACGGCCTGGGGGTGGTAGCAGATGGTGTAACCTGTGGAAGGCGGCTCGCTGGTGGGTGGGGGGCTCAGACCCACGGCCCCTCTGAGGCCCCCTCACCCACCACGTTTCCTCTCTTTCCTCCACCTCTGGAGTTTGGTGGACCCCGAACTCCAACTGCAGAAGTGTGGCAGGTGCTAGGTGGGCGGGTGAGGGTCAGGGGGCTCAGGCGGGCAGGCCTGGGGGTCCCAGAGCCTGGCCATCCCCTGCTCACCTAGGAAGAGCGCTGCCCAGGTCTTGATGTGCCGGTGGCGGCTGTGCAGGTAGCTGAGTGCCTGCGCCAAGTGGATGCCGAACTCCTCCTGGCTGCGGGTCATCTGGAGAGAGCGGCTGTCACTGGCTGGGCGAGGGGGGCTGGCCCTGCACAGACCGGCGCCCCAGCGCTGTCCCCCAGCCCTCGGGGCTGTGTGTGGAGTGGAGGATAGAGGGGGAGCGCCCAGCCTGGCCCCAGCTCCCTGGCCCTGCCTCCCCCCGCCCCCAGGCCCCTCACCAGGCAGGTCCAGAGGAAGTGGCGGGCACTGAGGCCCCTCTCCCAGGCCAGCGTACAGAAGAGGGTGTGCCGCAGCCGCCAGGGGAGCAGCATGGCACAGCGGTAGAAGGTGAACTTGGCCTGCTGTGGGGACAGCATGGGGGGTCTGCCCGGGGCCTCTGAGCCGGAGAACCACGGCTTTGGGTGGGGTCTGGGGACGCCTGCAATGTCCCGGTTCCTCCTGGCTTCCCCGTCTCCTTCCCACTGCCGGCCCTCCCTCAGCCTGACCCACTCTTCCCTGACTGCACTCTTAACCCACCTCGGCTCCTACAAAGTTGGCCCCCGGGGAAGCCCCCCATCTCCCCGGCGGTTCTCCCATTCGCTGTGGAACTGCCCGCTTATTATCCGTCTCCCCAGTGTCCAGGAGCCCCAGGAAGGCCGAGCTGGGTCTTAATGGCCTGGGTGTGGGACGTGGGCTGGCACAGGGTAGAGCTGGCACACAGTAGGGCCGGCACACGGTAGGGCTTGATCCACATTTCAACAACTTCAACCAAAAGCCTACACCCCCACCATGTGCTGGGCGCTAGGGACACAGCAGTGAGAACAGACCGGGCCCTGCCTGCACAGAGGGCACAGCACACCTGTGCAGTGTGCATGTGTGCGTGTATGTGCGTGCACGTGGGGAGGGGCAGATAGACCTTGGTCAGGGAGATCAGTGCAGGTGTGCAAACCCGCTGCCCCAGGGAGCACCCTTCGCCCTCGGGCAGCCCTCTGCCCCCCGCAGACCCCCGCGCCCTGGCCCCCGGCCCCCTGGGGTCCCCAACCTCACCACGGCGAAGGCCCGGCAGCAGTACTGACCGTGACGACTGCTGGGCAGTGGTCCTTCAGGTGCAGGAGCAGGGGCACCATGCTCTGGTGCACCTGGGCTTGCAGGCCGTTCAGCTTCCTGCCTGCCATCGTTGCCACCAGGTCCCCGAACAGTGCCATGGCCGCTGCCCGGATCACATCGCGCTCCTGCAAGGCAGTTGCATGGAGCAACTAAACCTGCCTGGAAGTCCCAGCCTCCACCCCGTGGTGGGGATGGGGCTCAGTGCCCTCAGCAGGATCATTTCACCCAGGCCCTGGGGGAGGGCTCCTGGGGTGGGACCGTGCCTCCCCCCTCAGACAGGGCTCCCGGGGCGGGGCGGTGCCTCCCCTCTCAGACAGGTCTCCTAGGAAAGTCACAGGCCATCCTCAGGGACCTAAAAGCATCTTTCTCTCACACTCACGAGCACATCCTGACAACCCAAGTGTCATGAATGCAGTTGTGGGGGGGCTCATCCCTCTCCTTTCCCAGTGAAGGAAAGACGGTCCTTGTAAGGATGCCCACACGCCAGGAAGGCAGGGACCCGGTGGGCTGGAGGGACTTCGTGTTGGTGCTGGTTCAGCCACGTGGGGAAGGGGCCGAGCGCCACCTGGCAGCCACCCACTGGCCCACCTGCGCTGGGCCACACCCAGGTGCCCCCTGGGCCTCCACCTCCCCACCCCCGTGGAGAGGCCCGCGGCCCTCCCTGCCTTCAAGGAAGAGGGGGAGGCACAGGAGGGACATGGGTGGGCACACTCACGTCGTCGAAGAAGGAGCGGGCATTGATGGCAATGCTGAGGCTCTGGGCCCCTGCGCCCTGCAGGCCCAGGCAGTGCAGCACGTCTGACACGGTGCCCATGATGCGCAGCACCACCGGCTCGCTGTTCTGGAAGAAGCCGTCGAGGAAGAGCGGTAGCTGTGCGCGGAGCAGGCTTCCCTGGGGGCGGCAAGGGCGGTGGGCCGAGGGCACCAGAACGGCCACCCCTGCGCCCCTCCCACCCCCAGCCCTGCCAAATGGACCCAGAACAAACTCAGGCTCTCCCCACCATGCCCCACTCCAGACCCCCATCCTGGCCTGGGCACTTCCCTGCCTGGTGTTGGCCCCCACGCTCTAGGATCCCGCTCTGGCTCTGCGCACAAGGGGAACTGTGCTCCCAGCCTTGCTCTGCCCACCAGGAGCTGTGTAGCCGTGGACAGGGCTTTCCCTCTCTGAGCTCCCTGGGGTCCTCCTGGGGCCAAGGGAGTACGAACCCCATGCTAGCTGGCTCCCAGGTCCTTCCTTCTCCCGTCTCCATGCTGGCCAGAGGGCCCCTTGCCAAGTCCTGGAAGCCACCCTTCCCTCCCTCCACCCCATCCTGCTTTCACCCCCATTCCCAGCCTCCCCGTGGGTCAGACAGGGCCTGGGGGGTGGGTGGGACAAGGTAGGTCGGGTGTGCACGCAGTGAGGTCACTGGCTGCTTCCGTCACAGGGGGTCTGGGTGCACCGGTGGTGGCTCCAGACCTTCCAGGAAGCAATGATGATTTTCCAATTTTACACTAAAAAAAAATACTGAATTCCTTTTCAGCCAATTCTGTCCGCTCCACTCTTGTGCAGCGTATTCAGGAGTTGTCTAGATGAACTGTCGGAAAGTGGCGTGTCGGCGGACGGGTGTTTCCTGCCATTAGGCCCCTTAACCATGACTTGTGTGCAAGCCAGGCTGATTTTCACAACTTTTTAACAAGTTTTAGGCAACTTCCTTGGCTTCCTAAGCTCCATTTAGTTTTACAATATTAAATTCATTTTCAGCAAGTGAGTCACTTGACAGCAAGACTTTCTGAGCACCTACTGGGCGCAGCCAGGGCTCCGGCAGTGGAGGAGAGGGGCTGAACGGCACTCTCGTGGGAAGGACCAGAGAGTAAACTACACACGCACAGCACTGTGTGTGTCAGGGCGACGAGCGACATGGGGGAAGACACAGCAAGGCAGAGGGTGCAAGAGACTGGAGTGGAGGTGGGAGGTGGCAGTGGTGACAGTTGTTATAAAGCTTTAATTTAAGTAAGTAGGATCAGAGGTGTCACTGAGAAGCTGACAGCTGAGCACATTCTTATAAAGAGGTGCTGGAAGAGGATTGCAGCAGAGGGAGCAGCAGTGCAAAGGCCCTGAGGTAGGAGCACACCTGCCCTGTCTGTGAGCAGAGGAGAGACTGATTCACATCACAGGAGCCCACTGGCCGCGGGGTGAGAATACACCAAAAAGGAGAAGTGTATGGCCTGGGCAGAGGTGCTGGCGGCTTCAGTAGGGACAGTGGTGAAGTAGGAGAAGTGGCTGGATTCTGGGAGCACTGTGGGATTTGTTGATCAACTGGATGACCCCAAGGTTTGGGGCCAGAGCAACTGGACAGGCGGAGTCCCCATCAACTGAGATGGGGCCGCAGGAGGAACCTGTCTTGGGGGGAGGACTCCACACATGTGGAGTTTGAGATGCCGGCCAGGATCTCAGCACTAAGGCTGGAGCTCAGGTCCAGGGCTGGGATACAGATTTGGGAGCAACTGGCTAACAGACAGTCCTTCAAGATTGGAGGAGCCCACCAAGGGAGTGAGTGTAGACCGAGAAGAGGAATGGGGAAGGACTCTGGGGTGTGAGCCAGGGCCAGGCCGGGGACGGGAAGAAAGACCAGGGAAGATGAGAAGGCACCACCCACGACGAGGGAGGAAAACCAAGGGGGCCAAGGGGATGGCAAGGTCCCCCAGTCACGTGCACTGAGGGTCCAATAAGACGAGCACTGAGTGACCATTGGGGGCCGTCACGGGTGACCTGGACAAGAGCGGTTTCAGGTGGGCAGCAGGGGGAGACGCTGACCGAAGGGCTGTCTGCCGGGCCCCATGGCTACGTTTGCACCATTTTCAGTTGACTATTTCATTAATACGTCAGCATCTTCATAAAGCAAAATGCAATTTCCAACAAGCACACAATGGCTAGGATGCCATTCCTGAAGATAGTGTCCAGATTGTCAATGTGATTTCCACGCGACAGTGTGAAATACTGTGGACTGGTCGTCTAGACCCCTTCTCTCAATGTGAGTGAGACCATAGGAAGGATCTCCCCCAGCCTGCCATGCTGGGCAGAGCTGCCGAGCCGGCCCATGGACAGTCGCCCCTGTTCCTCGGTGAGAGGACCCCTTTGTGGCTGGGCACACGGGAGCCACAAAGAGATGGATCTCCCTTGCGGCTAGGGGCGACTGCTCAGCCACCAGGACTGGAGCCAGAGAGAGTGCACGACCTATGGGGGTGCCCTCAAAGGGCAGGGCACGCCTGCTGGCTGGAGTGGACCTGCTGGTGGCCAGCCAGCCCCTGCAGGTGAGGGCAGCCCCCAGGGCGGGGTGCAACAAAGGAGGAGGGGCCTGTCCCCGTGAGGCAGAGCCGGACAGCCACACCGGCGGGGAGAAATGCACTTCTATCTTGCTTGAGCCGCGGGTAGTTGGGGTCTTTCGCACGTAGCTGCTGGTTTCCTGGCGCGCACGCCGTTACCCAGTTAGTGTAGTCTGTGTTCGACGGGCGACGGGGCGGCTGAAGAGCGGCGAAGCAGCGAGTGGACACAGTCCTTTGGGGACATGTGTTCTTGCGGGTCCCAGCACAGGGCACCTCTTTGGTGTCTGGGGCAGTGACCGTGACCCTCCCTCGGTCCTGTGGCCTGCTCCATCCCCACCCAGTCCGGCCTGTCCTGTCCCCACACCTGTCCTCCCTGGCTGGGAGTGCTCTGGATCTGCCTGTTTCCCCAGCCCTGCTGTGGCTGTCAGCCCACACCCCACTCGGGAACCATCCCCCCTTCCCCCGCCCTGGCCATCCTGCTCTGGAAGCCCTCCTGCTCTGTCTTCTCCATTCCCTGCCGGGCCCCAGTGCGGGCTTTAGAAGAGGCACATCGAAACTTCCTACTGATGGCCTGTCTGGGAGAGCAGCTGGAGAAAGACGTACGGATGAGTGACCACTGACTGACTGACTGACTGAATGAGAGAGCAAATGTGAATAACTGGTTGAGTGAATGAATAAATCTATAATCAATGAATGAAAGAAATAACGAAAGAATGAGTCATAAATGAAAGACTCAGGGAACAAATGGATGGGTGGATGGTGGATGAACAGATGGATGGATGTGTGGATGGACGGATGGATGGCTGAGTGGATGGATGGATGGGTGGGTGGATGGATGGGTGGGTGGATGGACAAGTGGATGGATGGATGGATGTGTGGATGGACGGATGGATGGCTGAGTG